CTCTAGGCACAACATGATGCCTGTTACTTTAACTGATGTTAGCATCACTAATGCAAAAAATCAAAAGATGGAGGAGTAACACAGTATGCATTTCAAGATGCCACAGGGATATGTTGTGTATTCCCATACACAAAACATATTGAAGTTGTCATTTGGTGCAATTAGAGGAGGAAAGGGAAAGTATTTTTGTGACCTCTGTTTAAGTGTATTTTTGTGGTGTGGGTAGATTGAAAAAGTATCTTTGGCAACCAAGTTATTTTATGCATGTGTTGTGAACATAGGGATTTTTGGACCCATAGAGGATTCAGTCAATCTTACTGCTATCATAGGGACTTTGCTGCAACTATTTAGAAGCTATGTAGAGTCTTCTCTGGAAGCAAAAAAGTCTACTTATTTTCATTTTTGTCAAAATGGCAGCATTCATTGGAACATGTCCCAGGATAAACTTTTCAATGTAGAAGGAAGACATTGCTTAATCCTGTGTCACTTTGGTAGGTATGTTACATGTGTAATTCAGTTACTGTTGTTTTGACTTCCGTTCTCTCTCATCTAGCATCTTAGCTGTGACAGACATTTGTGTCTAAGCGTAGCTAGCCATAGTCAGTAAGCCATATAGCCTTGCTATCGTGTTGCACCTGAGATACTATGCCATGCCAAGCGCATCCTCAGTGAGGCAGAGAAACTCCTCAGATAAAACAACAGAACTAAAATATCTCTAGCTTGATAAATATCAATGGGACAATGGTATATAATGAACAGTTAACTGAGTGTGTCTGAGCTAGGATATTTTTACTCTTTTACAGTCTATGTCAGGCTCAGACAGAACTATTTTTCAGAACTACAATCTGAAAGACCAGGTTTAGGAGGGCTGGGAAAGGCTGTCCTGGGCCAATCTGAAGAGAAGCAGTACCCAGAGAATGAGGTATGCTTGCTAGTGCAAACTTCTCTCCACAACACTTGGCTCTAGAAGGAAAAGGGAAACTTGAAAGACTATGCAAGGTCTTTTCAGTCTTTGAAATTATCTTTCTAAATGACACATAATTTCAGTAGACTATCCTGTGCTTTGGTTTGAAGACAGAAGGTCCTACATCACAGCAGCAGCAAGCTATGATAAGCTCTGGGAAAAAAATTAAAAATGAAAATACATTTGCAAGGTCCGACCTGAACTGGTTGTGTTGGATACCACGAGTAGTCCTCAAATAAAATTCAGCTAAGAGTGGTTGACCTGCAAGTGTTTTTTCCTGGAGACAACCACATTCCCTGAGAATTGTACAGTGACTTGTCAGCATTTAGTATGGATATGGCTAATACAGTAATTCTGAAAGGTACGATTTTTTCATTTCAGTGGAAACCAGTCAGAAAAGAATTAGATATCTATTGTAGCCCATATGTCTGTATTAACAATAGTTTCCCTATTTATTTCTGGAAGATGGCTTGTGCTTTGGTACAGAACTATAAAATATAGCATACATCATCTCTATTTTATCATGAAAAAGGAGATACTACTGCTATTTTATAGTATATTTTTATGATTTAAGAAATTTGAAGATAGCTTGCACATATAAGCACCTGTCAAGAGTATGGTTCAGAGTTTAAGAGGCACATCCAAAGTTTGCTCAAGTGCAACTTAATCATAGCATATCCTGAGTTGGAAGGGACACCAGGATCACTGAGTCCAACTCCTACAATTAAAAGATCATCTGGATGCCATGCAGCCTGCCTCGGCAACAGAGAACTCCTACGTGCTTCTTGATCAGAAATGTGTGTTATTTCTGTAAGTCACAACTTCTCTGCTGTTGAATCCGAGCATCTTCCTAGATCAAGACCTTAGACTGTGGCCCAAAAAGGGCAGCTCAAAGAAGGCTAGCTGAAAAGGCTAGGCAGGGGGCTGAAAGGAAGGTATTCCTACATCACCTCCATGTTTCAGAACCTTCTTCATCAAGAAGCTGCAGACCTTCTGGTGGCCTCTGAGTGCAATACATTATGGAGCAGTTGTCCTCAGAACTTTCTGTTTGTGAAGAGGGTTCAGTATAGATGATGCCCTGACTGAACCTGTTTCCTCTTTAGTTTCCAGTCTATATCATCCACCAGTTTCAGTGTCCTGTTTGGGAATCGGTTTTCCCAGGCATTGGGGTGCAATATCGTGGAGTCTGTGATCAGACTTTCACAGGTCCAGGATCCTAGAACAACCTGCCATGCTGACTCTTGGCGATGGCTCTACCTTCACTTTCACAGCAAGTTTTGGGGCAGACTTTTTCAAGTACCCCATTTTGATATACCAGTATATTTTACTTGCCATGCTGTACCTTTAGTCCTGTTTAGAAATCCAGATCAATCTACTGCAGTTGGTATCTGGTCTGTGGTAGTGGTCATTACTGGGTGCTGGAGAAGGTGCTGCAAGGTGTCCTAAAATGGCAGCTGTGGAGCTCATGTGCTCAAGTGTTTCCTTAAGCCCTGGTCCAGACATGTGGGGCACCCCCATTAGAGCAGTACTTCTAAGCCTAAACAGTTGCTGCATTTTGCCTCTTTCAGTAGTGGACTTGAGGCTGAATAAATACAGCATAAGTATTTTTTCTGAATGCTGAAATGAATGGATTAGGTCACTCTTTTACTCCCTTTGTGTTTCCTTTCTGTAAACTTTTTAGAGACCTGAGGTGGCTGTAGTTGTTTGAATCAATTTTCCAATGAAACATTATTGAACATAATTTATTATAGTGGAATGAGTTTATTATTATTTTTTCCCTTCCTTATGATGTGGATTTTACAAATAACAGCTAGTGTGTTTTTTTCTTAACCACTTACCATTAAGTAGCAGTGTTACAATGTCTCGTGGAGCATTTTACACATGCAAAGGATTGTTTGCAATCAATCCAGAGGGGAACATGTCTGGAATAAATTTAAATAGTGAACACAGTTCTGGAAACCATTATGCAAAAACGACCTTAGAGAAATCTAATCATGTGAAATTGCAGTTTCATAAAAATTGAAAATGTGTTTAAGAAAGAGTAACTTAAAAGTAATAAATCAATTTGCAGTCTGAAGACATTTTTTTCTATACGCAGTTTCCTTTTTGTGGTAGCTTCTGTGATTTCTTTTCCACACTATAGCTCTTTGATAAATGTCACCTTCTTACTCATGAGATTGTTCTTCTCCTTCTCTTCTTTCAAAACATTAGATGAAAATGTACAAGTTATTTTAGTTTAATCAGGCAGATTTATTGATTTCCTTTTAGTTGTTTGTCTGTGAGATATACATGTAGTTTGCTATACCTTGTAGCACAGAAGCCCAAGCTCTTACAACCCCATTATGCAACCCCAGGCTGCAGCACATCTGACTGAGGATGGGACCAAACAGTATGGAGCCTGCACACTGCCAGGGAGAGCAACTGGCATACAGAAACTATGTGGAGATGGAGATTTTGGAGTGAAGATGTTGTTTTGAGATAATTCGGTAATCAGGTTTCTTCTGATGTGCTGTGTAGTGAGACTGCAGCACCTAAGCAAATGTTGCTGTGCTGCTGGAGTTTGTTTTTTTGTGGTCTCAGACATGGAAGTGTGTGGCAAAGACCATCCCTTACAACCCATCTGGTCCTTCATGCTTCCAGCCAGACAGTACGGGAAGCAGAACAGCAGCATCTTGAAAGGGATGTGTGCTGCAAAATGCATTAAGGAAGAAAATAGATGGAGAATATGAGAACAATCTTTGGAAAATAGCTGTGGTTGTATGGTCAAGAATAAATGGATCTTGCTAAAGGTATCTAATTTTAAGGCTGAGGTAACTGACCTTGGCTTAGTTCAGAAGTTGATTTGGGATTTGCAGAAGTAGAAGAGGAAAGGAGTGGAACTGACAGGATTTAAGGGCAAGACAAATGATAGCCTTTAAATTATCTACCTTTCAAAAGCTGGAAATGAGAGCAAGATTTCTAAATCTCAGCATTCAGTTCTTGTCAGCAAGCAACAGATATTTCTGTCTGCTCCTGCTGGTGTCTCACAATTATATCTGTACTGGGAGCTGCAGAAAGTTTTCCTGGGTCCGAGGTCCAGTGGCGTCTTGGCCCCACTCTAAGATGAAATATCTGCCGTCTTTTCTTGCCTCTGTCTCTCCCTTGCTCCTGGCAGCACTGGCACACAAGCCAAATGGGAGCTGCGATGCTTTCTCAATGGATGATTGAACTGCAAGAACTGGAGGCTTCACTGTGTGGAGTATTTTGTACAAGACACAGCAGACAGGAGCCTACTCTGTTATTTTGAGTGATAAGGATTTTGCTGTCATCCAATGTTCAGACCAATGATGTTGTAAAATATATGCTTGTAGGTTTGCACGTGAGATTTTTTTTTCATTTAACTTGCTTTTTAAATTAGGAAATTTCCTTAATAATAACATTAAAATTTTAAATGTCCTGAACAAGGCAAGAGTCTTCTGGAAATATAGTATCTGTGATCTCTTGGTACTGGTGTGTACAACAGGGCTAAGTCTGTGGCTGCACAGATAAAAACATAATTCCGTCAATCTCCAAAATAGGAGTATTGGATTTCTAAACTCTGATGGTTCTTTTAAATCCAGCATTTATCTGACGGTAACTAAGCTGGAGTGTTGGAGTCTGTTCTTTGGTGCCATGCATTACTTTTATTCTTTGCTTACCATTACTTATATTTTTTCTGTTAATATTTTAAAATTTGTTAAGTTTTTATTCAAAGGAAATGTTACCAAATATGAAAAATCTTGTCAAAATGATATCTGCTTTCCATCCAAAATGCCAAAATACTGTATACTTCCATCTGTAATTTGACTGAAAATGTGCAGAAAGCAGTAATTTTCTTACTGATATTTTACTTACACAGAAATTGCTGCCTTTGAAGATTGCAAAAAAGGGCTCTGAAATTTCTGGGGTGCAAAATTCCCTGCTTTAAGAGGCATCTTTCACTTTTAGATCCCCAATTTACATGCAAATAACTAATGAAGTGTTATTGATTAACAACTCTGATCTTTTATTTCCTCAGCTATCATGTATGTAATGGGAGCACTTGGTCCTGCAGCTGGCTACTTACTGGGAGGACTTCTTATTGGTTTCTATGTTGATCCTAGGACAACTGTTTATATTGACCAGAGTGATCCCCGATTCATTGGAAACTGGTAAGGGTCAAGCATTTTTCAGAACGACTCTCTAAATTGCCAGTAGGGAATTGAGACAGGGTGGGAAATCATGTCCCTTGAGGGCTTGTTTGGGTCTGTAGGAGGAGGCCGAGGAAGAAGAGTATGCCGTGTTGATTACAGCATACTAGCTCCTGACAGAGAGGAAATGCTGCAGAAACATGTGTGTACAGTTAATGGAAAACTTCCTGCTTTTGGCTCCAGGACTTCCTCTGACTGACACAGTTGGTGCCAATTGACAGCACTCAGCACAGGAATGGCAGGACAGTATACTGGAGATTTTAGGAGGTTGTCAAGAACACTGCTGCCCAGAGCCTATCCCTTCCTAATGGAAACTGGATAAATCCCAGCTTTGGTTTTCCAAAACAGGCAGCTAGAAATGCTGAACTCTGCAACCCAAGTGAGAAATAGTAAACTCATTTATGGTTGTCTAGGAGAAGGAGATAGGATGGTGTCATAACATAGCCTTTCTGGTCTTGTTACTCTGGGTGATGGCTTGTGTTTGAGTAGCAGATGATGTAAACCATCACATTATTCTCTAGTAAACAGTACGTTGCCAGCAGTGCTGAGATGTAACAACCGTAATCCTTAGATGATGTCTTTGTGCAGCCTTTGATATGTGGCCTGCTTGGAAATGTCTTCTTGAGGAAGCGTGTCTGGAAGCGTGTCTTGAGGGGGCTTTGAATGGCTTTTTTTCCCCCAGATAATTCATAAATATGTCTTGAAATCTTCATGCAAGCCCAAGGAAGACTGAAGTTTGTCATCTTAGGAGGAAGCCCCTGCTGTGCATCTCAGCTGTTAGTTGTGTTGGTGGTTTATTTCAAGGAGCTTATCAGCATCCTTGAATCATCTTGTTGGCTCTTTAGAGAAGCTTGGGGGCTTGCTTTTGTTTCAGCACATCTTTGATGTGTTTTTTTCTCTGATTCTTGACCCCAGTATTTTATAGAGTACAGTTTTAGGTCTTGTGCACTGGATTAGTATTTGTCGCTATGCCACTTCAGTTAGACCATATCTGTTTCTTTTTATACTACAGTGATCAATCCTGACAGTTTGATATGAAAAATCATTCTTTAGAGTGTTCTTAATACTTTGAAGGTTTATCACTGCTTTATATGTCTTATTTTAGCCCAAGAGCATTGCTGCACAGGTCTAGCTGAATTTTCAATGAGAGAAGAGCAAACCTGAGTACTCTTCTGTGACCTTGGGATTAATGACTCTGTGCTCTCATCCATATACTGACATATCTCACAGGAAAGATCTGTGATGTGAATGTGCTACAGTGTTAAAAAGAGCTTTGACTAATTTTGAATAAGAGATTTGAGACCAGAACAAACTATTATACATTCCTAGTAAAATTCTTATGTTTCTTGTGCTTTTAGGGAAATGTTTCAGTTATTCAACTTGAAATCTTAAACAGGCCCATAAATATATCCATTAATTGAAATCAGCGGGGCTATGTGAAAGCGGGGCAGGCATTAATTTTGAGTTTGTCTATAATGTAACCACTGAGGTAACTGCCTTGTAGTGTGGGCACATCTCTGTGACTGTAGCTTAAACACATAAGTTAAGGATAAAATAACCAAAGCAGCATGGACATAACTAAAGCTGCTTCTCAGGCCATGTGCACTGAGTTCTGTGAAGCAGCTGATGGACTGCCACTACTGCTAGTACACAGCTAGCTTGGATATCTGTAATGTTGTCATAGCCAAGTGTGCAAGAGAGATCTGGCAAAAAAATGCCTGTCCTTTCTCATGAATTACAAGTTCAACTTCCCTCCCTCAGAAGACTGAGTGCCAGGGTTGGATCCTCAGCATCTTTCAGGAGTGCTGTAGCCAATGAAGCTGTGGCAGTAGTGGTGAGAGGTCACTTTGCACAAACATTTCTGTGCTCAGGCTTTGAGAGTACCTACTGTGCCAGGCCTTGCAAGCAAAAGGGACTAAAGAGCCTAGTTTGTGCATTTGGAAGATTTTATGTTAAACAGGGTTTTATGTATCTTCAATATCACCTGAACAGGTATCTTGGTGATTTCAGTTTTAGACAGGGGTGCTGGTAGAAGTGATGCAAATAAGACTGAAGGAAAGGCAGGAAATCAGCTGTCACAGGATCTCAGCAAGCGAGTCATGTTCTAGCCAGCACAGAAAAGTCATTAATTTTTTCCATCACGTTGATTAAATTGGTAGATTGGCTACTGCCAAATGGTGTTCCAGGTTGCTGCATTACTCTATTGGTTTTTGGGTCTCTACTTTTTTTTTTTTTTTTTTTTTTTTCTGTTAACTTTCTCAAGAGTATTGCCTGTTATCAAATCTCTGGTAATTAGTTTCACTGTCTGTGGTGGCTTCTAATAAAAGTTCAGTGGTGCTTAGAGCATCTGTGCCTTATTCTCTTTTCTTTTCTGAAGCTTTATCTACCCTTTAAAATTACAATCGTAATGGTGTTACAACTGGTCCTTTGTCCGTTGTTACTTAATGACTGCCTGGTTACAGAGGGCTCTGAAAGTGTAGACTTTCCTTCCATTGAAGTCTGTTTTCTGGGACTGTGACATTTTCTCCTTGCAGGGAAGTGCCACATATCCAAATTTATTTTTATGTATGTAATCTAACAATTTGAAATATAAGAGTAGTCTAGCACTTCAGAGAGTCTGACATGCTTTTCAAAAGTAGGGTGCAGTTAAGTTAATGGGCAGTCATATTTGAGATTTCTCAGCCTCATCTCCTTTGAAGTGAATTAGTGTCTTTGATTTTCATCTTTCCTTTATTATAGCTGTAAGGTTCCTAACTCTACTTATCACAGGAACCAGTGGAAAAATTCCACTATTAAAGGAGGCAGTGATTACAAGATAGTAAATATAGCAACAGTGATATACAACAACAAAAATTGCTCAGAGGTCTGTTTTTTTACTTAAGCTGCTCCTTTCTAAGAGGTATTTTGCATATATGCAGGACAGGCAACCTGGTTTATCTCATGTCAGACCTGATAAAGTGCTTCTCTCAGGGTTATTTCTGATTTGATTTTCCTCATTTCACAGAACTTGGGTTGCACACCTGGGTTTTGCACACCTGTTTTTTGTAGGTGCTCTGGGCTAAATTACAGGCCAGCTGTCTTTGCCATCCCATCAAATGCTTAAAACTGCTTTTTATTCAAGTGTGGTAACTGTGGGGACATCTGTTAGAAATCATCTGTCATGTTGTTGTCTTTAAGAACTGCTAATGTGCGGTATAGGGATCTCGTTAGTTGTGGAGTAGCCCTTGGCAGTCTGTCAAGTGCTTTGAATCAACTTTTCTTTTGCTGACACTTTTTGAAGTGTTTACCTAGTTCTGAATCTGTTTAATACTTGGTTCTTCTTATATCGTCTTTCATCATCATTCCACACAAGTGGAAGAAGTTTAAAGGAATTCCTCCAGCACTGTCTGGTCCTTCCTTAGCTTTAATTGCTTTTATTTGAGGTCTTAAGGCTTGTGCAGATGCCTTTGAGGTATTCCCCTGCATATTTTCTTTGACTTCAAGAACACAGGAAATCAAGGGCTTTTTAATTAATACAGATCCCATTCTGACCTCTCATTTCCCATTGTAGGTGTCTTTATTATTTTTGATATCCTCTTTTGTCTGTTTCCGAGTTCTTTGATACTGCTCCAGGAAGATGTGAAATGTAGACAGTGCACATAATTACATACACTGCTGCATTTGTGACATCTCCAGCACTTGGTATGCTGCCATAATGGTCCCTTTGGATTTGAATTTCATCTCGTGCTACATCACAAGGCCCTGTCTCCTTTGCTGTTTCCCGCTGAGTGGGTGGTTTCATATTTCTATCTGTTATTGCCACAGATTGTTTCTTTGATCAGTGCTTTGCAGCTTCTGCCTTTGAGGTCCTGAAAGGGATGTTACTACATTTTTATTCAGCCTGCCGATATATTCCCTATTCGATAGCGCTGACTGATCCTTCTGAAAGACTGGTTGCTAATCCATGTATTTTATCAGCTAAAATGAGTGAATAGAGGATTTTCTGTTTATGTAATATCAAAGCAAGTGAAAACTTTCAGTAACTTAGATTTGCCTCACAAAAGCTTCCTGCACAATCTTCCTAACAAAATCAGTGTTACACATGGAAGTTCGTTTCGTGTTTGCCTTTGCATAACCTGTTATCACACAAACCAGTACACACGTGTATGGATCAGCCTTTGTTTAAAAATATAGTTTGCAATATGTTTGCATTGCAAAAGTGATGCCAAACATTTTTGTTTGTTGTGCAGATAATCCTCTCTCCTCTATACTTTTAAATGTTAAAAATGTGCACAAATATTTAATTAGTAGCTTCCTGGGGTAGCTTACTTTATTAAGGGTAAAGGACGTACAAAAATATAAAATTTGTCCTGCAAACTGTGATTTGAAAGCAAAGAGCTTCAAACTTTCATTGCTGTGCTTCGATGTTGGAGTAAGGTGCTTCAACGAAGCTTCCAAGCACTTGTGTAAATTAGGTTAGTACCTAATGACACCCACACTTTCAGTACACTGGAAGAACTCGGTGGGTGACTTCTGAGGTCATGCTTCTTTATGGAAGCATTGGTGTGCGTTAGACATATTTCCTTGAAGTCTTTTAGTAGAGAAAAATGTAGAGGAAAAATTATATTACCTTATACTCGACTACCTGCCTTCTGACTGCTGAAGGTTAACTCTAGTATACTTTCCAGTAGGCCCTATTGCACATCTGGTAAGGCCCTGTTGCCCATCTGTGTGGCCATGTTAAAGTTACTGAAGGTTTGTGGCCTCAGGGAAGATAATTGTGTGTATACTGTTGGCCCATTTCTGGCACTACATCCTGCATTATCCTTCTCTGTGGGTAGTCCCCATGTCGTTCAGTGTGAGCCAAGAGGTCTTTGTAGGGCTGATTGTGTCCCATTCTTATAAAACAGAGGGAGAGAAGAGGGATTTATTTGTGAAGGGGTATTTCTGGTCATGGTAGAAGAGCAGAGCTGCAAGGTCCTAGGCATAAGCCCTGGCATGAACTGCAGAACATTGCCTGTGTACAGCCAGGCTTCAGGAGCTCTTCACTGGGAAGGGAGAGGGTTGGACAGTCAGTGCACTGAGAAGTTGGCACTGGAAAGCAGAACAGATTTAGCCCTGATATATCCATCTGGACATCATGCCATGGATAATGCTGTGGATAACCTTTTTCATGTTCTCCAGAGGAATACTATATTCCTTTACTGTGAATTATCTGAGAAAGGCAAAGTAAAAGTGAATGCCTACTTCTAAGAGCTTGGTACTGAGTAGTTATCAGAAGTGAAAACTTACAGGAACTCAAACCTGGCGCTATTTCAGAAACCATTTGCTGGTTTCTGTATAAATACCTTTATCAGTAGGAAAGCCAACAGAAACATCTTCTAATTAAAGGTTTTAATGCAGTAAAAGCTCCCCTCCACTCAATTAATTTACTCTAATTTCAGTGTTCCATATTTTGCAAATTTGTCCTTCCAGCTAGTACAGCCTGTAATAATCACTTTGGTGTTTTTATTTCATGTAATGCATTGGCTTTCATTTCTGTTCCTATCTCCTGGCATTAGGTGGAGTGGATTTCTCCTTTGTGCCATTGCAATGCTCCTTGTGATATTTCCAATGTTTACCTTTCCAAAAAAGCTTCCTCCTCGACATAAAAAAAAGAAAAAGAAAAAGAAGATGAACTCTGATGATGTTTCAAGTGATGATGAAGTCATGAAAGAGAAAACAAATAGCAAAATACAAGCAGACAGTGCAGTTCCTGCCTCTATGGGATTTGGAAAAAATGTTAAAGGTGAGGTTTGTTTTTAAGTTTTAAATGCTTTAAATTTTGTTTACAGGTTCGTCTTCTAGGGTTGTATGAAGTCAATTGAAGGCAGATTCTTTGCATGCTGTATGTAATACTATGCTTTGCTATTGACGGTCTTTTAAAATTACAAAGTACACCTGCAAGAGTGAGACATCACTTTACATAAATTACTGAAGCATTTATTATGTACCAGTGACAAATAGGTAATAGGGGGTCTGTTTGCTATAGTTGTATGGCAAACTGTAAGGTCATATAACTATATCAAACTACATGATCTTTATTACCAGGCACATTTGTGCACCTTGTAGTTTGCAATTGTCTTACTTGCTTAAGCTTTTCTTCACAAAATAAAGTGCTCTTCTGAAAAATAAACAAAACAACTAAAAAGGAATTCTAGTTAAGTGATTTAAATTACTTTCCTCTATTTTAGCAAGTTAACTGGAGAAGATTGTTTTATTTCATATGCATTACCTGGCTATGGTGTATTGCAAGCTTTTTTTGTTTTCCAAAGGCAAGGATGAATGAAACCTGTGCTAATTTTGAAACAAGAAGAATTCAAAAGATTGACAAGTAATGTGATTTTTATTTTATTCAATGAGTAAAATATTAATGAGAAATTTAACAGTTACTACTAGTGATGGATAAAATGCCATGGGAAGAAATGCAGTGTTGTTAAAAATGAATCAATGTGAAGCAAGTAACTTAGAAGTTTAAAATGTAGGCTTAAAAGTGTCATAATATTGAATAATACAGGATAAAAATGAACAAAACTTAATGCCTCTGTGTTATCGATGCTGTTTTGTCCACCCTGATTTCTGTGATATGAAAGCAGTGTTCCAGGTTTATAATACTCTGATGGATTTCTCCTAGGACTGAGAGAAATCATGAAATGTCATTTGTATCATTAGACATAATTTGTACTCTAAACTTTTTTTTTTGTTTGTTTTTGTTTTTCATTCAAACCTATAGGCTTCTGACTAGCAAAAGTAGTTGTGGGGTTCTCCTATCAAGGTATTCTTACTAGGTCAGGGAGGTAGGAAACAGGAGATCAGGCTGGACTTCTTTCTAACCATTGCCGGCAATGTCACAGTAGAGCAACTGCTTCATCCTGTAGGTGTGCCTGGAAAAGATACAGGTGTTCAGCCAAACACTGCAACTGGAGGATTTTCATGATGCTGGTTCTCTGAACATAATTTCACCTTCCAGGTCATGTCGTAAGAGTCTAAGGTATATATCAGCCTAAATGTGTATCATACCTACTACTAACAAAATCCTACATTACAATAATAATTGTGCCTCCAAATTAGAGCTTCTCATATACAAAACATTTGAGTTTCTTTAGAAGAGAAACTTCACCATGTGGAACAGTGAAAAACAGAATTATATTCCACATGTCAGAGAGACACTGAGCGAGTCAAGATAACACAGGGAAAAGTATTTTGCTATAAGCTGATAATAGCTTTGCTATTAGGTGTCATTCGCCCTAGCAAAGAGTGCCTGCAGCAGGAATGCACTGTCATTTAATTATTTTTTAAGTTTAAGTGGGCTTTATGGAATGAGATCATGCCTCAAGCTTCTCAGTTGATGTAATGTCATTTATAATGGGAAGGAAAAAGGACCACATGTGTCTAAGTCATTTAGCATTGCTTCTGAGATGCAGTGTACAATTTATACTTCCCATTGAGTTTCAGGGCTTCATCTTTTAATAGAATGTTATGGCAGAAACTCCGCTTAGGCAATGGCTGGGGGACAGATGATTTAGTAGGTCACATCTTCTGTTCTGTTCTAATAAATACCAGTGATGTCGCAGTCTGTCATGACAGAGGTCAGTGCCATTAACCTGTAAAGCCTGCATCTTTGCTAGGGAAAGTCTCATGTAAGAGACTGTTTACTTTGATCTTCTGATCTGACATTGTCTTTCTTGGGAAACCTTGTCCTGCTGTAACTTGTCCTAATTTCATTGAAGTTAGTTTTCTAGATGAATGAAAATGTATTGAAAAGTTGTGATAGGAGAGGGATAGGGTCATTTTTCCTGCGATAGCTGCCAGCACAGTCTGAAGATACAAAACAAAACTGGCTCCAACTGCAAGTATCTTCCAACTTCAGTGACCTAGGGTTTTTGTTGGCCCGTGATAGAGCTAGAATCAGATAACAATATAGATCCATCTTTGCTTTTTCTCATTTTTCAAGACACAAGGGTTTGGAATTCAGTCTTTTCTATTTATGTTGCAAGTAAACAAAGTGAGAGGGAGAATGCTTCTGAGGCAGGTATCAAAAGCATTATATAGGTCATAGGAGGAAGAAAATTGGATGTTGTTTATTGGAAGAAATGGAGGTAACATAAATAACATGAGATAAAGAAGATTTATAATGAAGAAGTCATAGTGCAATCCCACACACAGAGATAAATCAAGAACGTGAGCAAACAAAACCTCTGTTTTCATTTATTATATGGATACCCTTAGGGTTCTGTACCATAGAAACTGTTTCTGCAATCCATTTTTCTTACCGCTATAATGCAACTGACTGTGCAATTGGATAAAGGGGCAGAGTAAAGAAAGCAAATTCATATATCACTCACCTAAAATGTACTGATCTAATCTAAGAGGTGTTAATTGCATGTACTTTATAATAGTCTTTTTTTTTTTTTCCTATATATATGTACTTAAAGCAGAGTTATATCTGAGCCCAGCCTCTTAAAAGTGCAATTTTCCTGTCAGCCTTTTCACGTCTGCCAGCTGTCGTATGCCATTCCCAGTCAATCCTGAACTGAGATGGGATAATTATGCATGGCAATAATGCAGGCCAAGGTAAAAGAAGTTCCTGGGGGATGTGAAGTGCTGAAGTGCTCCCTTGAGGAACCCAACTGAACTTGCTGCAGTAGATGAAGAGCAGTCGGTAAGAATCAGCACAAGAGCAGGAGATGCTGGGCTGTGCACAGAGGTGCTCAGTGAGCCCTGTAAATGTCAGAGAGTTCAGGAGACCATGGGCTGGAGGTTCTGCTGTGCCACTGACCTCGAGCTGGTCATTCCCCCTGCTCCTGGCTTCTGTCAGCCTGGAGGACCCAAAATAGAAAGAGTTGGCGTGGCCCTGTACAGTGATGATCAACATTATCTGGAGCCTTGAGAAGCTGCTTGAAAGCAAGCAAATAGTCATGTGTGACTGAAAATGGTAATTTCCATTCCAACAAACAAAACCAAAATTCTGTCTCAAATATTGGCTCTGCTTTGTACTGTGTGAATACAGAAGCTGTCCCTGGGATTTCAGTATGGCATAAACTACTCTCAGAGCTGTCTGGGACAGAGCTGTCAGGACTCTGAGCACAGTTGGAAAGGAGATCCTCTTGCTGATGTGTGTGTCACCCTTACAAGGGTCACGAGAGGACGGTGCTGTAGAGCCAGACAGTTTATTCCCCTGGTTGTATTCACCTTTGGCTAGGTGTAAAAGAATAGGGCTAAAAGAAAATAAATTATGGTAAGGGAAGTAAAGTTGGGATTATTTCTTTTTTATTATTATTTATTTTTAATTGAAATACTGTTTACAGTACTTTAAGAGTTTTGCTTAGAGCAGTATTTACAAATATTTGTATTGCTTGCAGATTTTTCTTAGGCTATTCCCTTACCATGAGTCAAGCAGTGGTCCAGTACACCAGTGAAAGAAAATGAATAGAGGCTAGAGGTAAAATATGGTGAAAGAGCAGCAGGGGAAGAAAACTGCCAGTAAGGTAGCAAACCAGTCCAGCAAGGCAGGTTCCAATTTATGTTTAGTTACATATTTATGTTATTTAAAAAAAAAAAAAAGAAGAATTTGCTATTTTAATTATTTTACAGTAGAGTGAACATATTTGCAGCCATACTAAATTATTGCTTCCATTTTAGGAATGTAATTGATAGAGACTTATTTGTTCAAATGACAGAATGACATTTGTTTCTGCTCCACACTTGCTAAAAGGAGGGATGGTTCTTGAAGACCTACTAAAAATCTGAAGCTGACAGGTTTAATAATGACCTTGAAATGAGAGTCTAGGCCTATGGCTAGTCGCACAAAAATAATGTGACATTGAAATGTTTTAAATGCATGATTGATTATGTAGTACAAAGGATCCTTAAGGTTTTTATCATTCTTGCTTCTTACTAGAATTCTTAGATTCTGGAGAGTAATGCAGGTTCTGTTGCACAGGGTTTTATTGTAATCATAGGAGGAAACCAGAGAAAACCCAATTCTGGATATGTATTTTTATTTGCAAAACTCTTAATAAAAAGCTTTTCCTTGTGTGTCAGGCAGTTGCTCTTCAGGAATCACAAAGAGTTTCAAGCCTCAACTGCTACATGTTGCATGCGTTGGTGCAGCGTACAGGAATTATCTGATTTATTTCGTGCCAGAAATTACAGCAATGAGAACAGAGCTGTTCCCTGGAGAAGCCTTCACATGGGTTTAAGAGAACTTGTGCTTATTCCAAGACACTCTGAATTTTATCTATTTAGCAGTACAAATCCAGTTTTGAATGTGCTAATTAGTTTTCAAATTAATAATGACCTTTAGGCTGAGTGCTCAGTACCCTGAAAGATATAAGTAGGAGTTAACAGAAAGCACAGCTTTACATCAGAAAGCCAGAGCAAAATGTTCAATAGCTCCGCAGTTGTTTATCTAATTAGTTGTTTGGTATCTTTAGATAAAAAATTCTAAACCATACATTTTCCCAAAGATCAGTTTTACCAGGAAGGGCTAAACTTTACTAGGTATTATATTTGGACAAAGTCCTTTAAAATAATAATTTTAGCAAAGACCTTGGATTTAGTTCTGGGCCAGAGACTTCCAGTTTATTTCTACAGAGAACACCAAACATCATCCTAGTGAACATCATCCTAGTGAAATGACATTTCTCTTTGTGATGTCCAGTCTTTGAAAGAGATTTATTATTTTCTTCCACATTTATAGAGCTTTTTAGGAGGCCTACTCAAAGTCACTCTTCCACCAACACTTACTGTAAGTCAGCACTATGAGGTTGAAATGTGAAAGATGCTGGTTTTTTTTTTTTTCCTCATGTATTTTTGGTCTGTTCATACCAATTGTATGTCTGTGTATGTATCATACATGATCCTAATATACATAAACAAAGTTTAGATGCTAGAGTATACCGCCAGAGTGACTGATGGTAATGCCACTCGCTGTTACTGAACAGGCACCTTTACTTCCATAAGAAGTTTTCAATTGTATACTTTTTTGTCTTCTTTTCCCTAAAACTTTGGCAGGGAGGACAGAGTTGGAGCAACAGTGAAGATGTCCTATCTATTTGCTGCATTTGAGACCAGGGAGATTTGTGTTCTTGCTGAGTCAGCATTGATACACAAAAAAAAACAAAAAACAAAAAAGGTAGGGGCCAACCAGGTGTCCTAGAGGATGTTGGCTTTTTTGTTCCACTTCTGTCACTTTTGTCTTCCCATAAGGGAAAAGAGGAAAAGATCTTTTAAGATGAACATGTCTTTTTTTTTTTTTTTTTTTTTTTTGAGGCTGGTATCGTGCATTTGCCAGCTCTGGCTCTTGGTGCTGTGATGGGCTGCCTCAGCCAGTGTGTAGTCTCTCTGCCAGTGTTTCTGTCATCTCCTTCTCACCCAGAAAACTGAATGCTGCTGCCCATAATTAAAAACACCCATTAGCTCATTTTCTAGCAGATCCAATCCTGGCACACTTGCTTTTTTCTGACTCCTTTCTCGCAGCAGCAGCATGATCATAACTGTTTGCCGTCATTTTGAGGGAGAGGCATTCAATCCCGCACCATGTCCCCAGGGAAATCCGGCTACAGCTGCACCACTGCAGCCCTGTGGCAGCAGTTTTCTTAAACTGCATCATCTTAGCCTCATGAGAAGCTTTGCAAAAGCATCTTGGTTCTTGCTCTTTGGATTCTTTTTGCATCCATGCCTCCATCAGATAATCCAACCCAACCCAAAAACAGAAATAAAGCAAAAGTTGATGAGGTTTGAGGACTAAATATATTGTAGATGTTTTATCTCTTTCATTTCCTCTTGGACGATGAAATCAGTTTTGATCAATTGTATTTTGAACATGCATCATATTTAACAATAAATACCAGTAAACTTTTTTTTTGTTACTCACTACTGTAGTGTAATTTTTGCACAGGGACAGCTACATTACATATACTGCAGATATGTTAATATTATATTGCCTCAGACTTCCATTTTCATTTGTTTTTCTGTTCTGCGATTGTAAACAGTGCCACAATTAGAAAAAAACAAAACAAACAAACACAAAAACAGTAAGTGGTTAAAAACATTAAGTTTCAGTGCTTCTCAATACAGGTTATACATCACTTGTTTCCAGCAAATTTAGTATTTAACATTTAATTTTTTTCTTCATAGAGGCAGCAAGAGAGCATTTGTCTACATTAAAATTATAAACCCCGTACTCATAATGAATTGATTATTTTTGACAACTGGCATAAGCTAAGACTGGATGCAGTCAGACAACTGAGGTACTAATTTGCAGTCTGACAAGCTTCGACTTGACAGGATTCTAAACTCTGTTTGCTTTTATACAGATAACCTGCTGGAGTCAATGGAGTAAATGAGACAGAGTTTTGACTTGACAACTTTTAGGTTCAGTAATGTTCCAGCTCAGGAGTTCTACTGTTCTGTGCTTACTCAATACATTATATTTCTAATGGGCATTCTTGACATTGAATTCAGTAGGCTTTGGTTCAGTTCACATGAAAAGTAGGAAGCTACTGTTGGGCTGAAAATAATACTTGTCATGCTTGGACAGAACATCTGATCTTGGTAGAAGCCCCAAGGGAAAAAAATGTTTAAAAATCGTGCCATCAAATCTGAAAAAAAAAAAAGAGTCGTGAATAGAGCTATTATCATCTTGACATCACTAAAGGACTGAATTAAAAGTATTTAAGTGTTTTTTTTTTTTTTTTTTTAAACTACAGTTCTGAATTTCATGGTGTTTTGGTATTTGCTTTAAGGATAATTGCAACATCTATGAACACTTTTTCAATTTAAGCTAATGATATGCTCTCATTTTTAATTGATTGTTTTATCCCTTCTGGGAATATCAGTTGTATGTAATGTATGTTGAGATTCATTGATATTGACATCATTTTTTCAGTACACTTTGTCTGCATGCTTTTGTAAAATTTTTTAATCATGTACAAAAATGTTTAATGTAAAATTGTTTGGTTTCTTTTTCAAATTACAGTATTGTTATCCCAGCTTTCCAACTGTGGTCTTTTAAGCAGAAGGGCATGGGGTCTTTTTTCCTCATGTGGAGTGCAAAATTCAGTATTGTCAGTTCAGCAGGGTGCTATTTCAAAATAAGACATCAGAATAATTCCAAATTTGCTACAATTTCTTGCTGTTTCTCCTTGCTTTTTACTGTTACTGCGTGGGCTGTGTTTCTTTAGATATTTTTTGTTAAAGCAGTCTTCAGTTCTGTTTGTGAAAAATGGGACTGCAGCCCTGGGGCGATGCAGTGAGATAGTGTAAGAGCAAGCAGCAAAGAGTGCAATTCAAAATATGCACTCTCCCTTCCGCTCAGCAAATAGCCAGATGCTAGCAAGCCATTATTTACAGTCCATCTCAAAGAAAATCAATTTGTTTTGTTCCAGTTTGCTTTTGTTTTTCACTCATTATTTATAACATTCATTTCTCATTTTTGTCACTTTATAGAGCTTCCAAGAGCAGCTGTCAGGATCTTAAGCAACATGACATTCCTTTTTGTGAGTTTGTCATACACAGCTGAGAGTGCCATTGTTACAGCTTTTATTACCTTCATTCCCAAGTTCATCGAGTCACAGTTTGGCATCCCAGCTTCCAATGCCAGCATCTACACTGGTAAGGCATTGCCAATGAGTGTAATGTGCAAGGGTTGTTGTTTTTTGGCTGATGAAATAAATCAATAGAGGAATGAACTGAAAACACGGTTTTTAGAACAGGTTATTCAATTCAGCTTTGTGCCTTTGTGATTGTTTAGATAGCCAGGCTGTTCTTTAATGTTTGCTATATTTGTTTAGTAAAATGTGAACCTATTTATACTGTTAAAGAGTGTTTTTTTTTTTTAATTATTTTCCCATAAGCCTAGATAGTGACATTTTCTAATATGTTAATAGCCTTCAGGGGGAAAGAAAGCAACAAAAGCTAGAAAATGCCCAGGAGTATTGCTGTGATTTGTGTGGCTTAAAATATATTTTAAAACTGTTCTTATTTTATGTGAATTTTACATCCACTTTGATCTTTAAAATATCATAACCTTTCCTTCTCTCCAGTGACCAATTGTTTATTTGTACCATCCTTCCTTTACTCATCTCTCCCCTCCAGGCTGATGGTCTTCTCCCTAATTGTTTATTAACACAGAGCACACAGCAATCCAGTCTGGCCAGGAGAGCTCCCCAAATGCTCCCTCTCCCGGTATTTCAGGTCTGAGGCCCCTCTTTTGCAGCTGTGGCACTTTCCCTGCTGCTGTAGTAAAGTGCAGCCAAGTCAGCTATTAACATAGCTTCAAAGTTTCTGTTCTGCAGCTTCATAACTGCTCTGGGATGAGAGAGGGATGAGCTCCACCTGCAACTCCCCTAGGGGAAGGGGACAAATTTTTGTGCAGAATTGGGACCCACGGCAGGAAGGTCATCTCCCTTCCCGTCTCCTTGTCAATCGGTGTCTTCTTTTTGTTTTATAAGCATATTTTTGCCTTCTCCTTACTGTGTTCCATACAGAATATCTATGAATGCTGGGCAGGTTAATTCTTTGTTCCCCCATGCTTCCAGATATTACACCTGAGAAGGAAGGCATAGTGGGGTGGAGAGTGAGTTATGGGAGGAAGTGTGAAGTATGAGGAGAAGACAAAAAGTACTGAGAGAAAGAGGGGCATGACACAGAGACAAATGGGAATCACTTGTTACCTACAGTGGCTGAAAGATACACAAGAAATCTCTCTAGAGTGTTGAGGCGAAGCATCAGAGAAGCACCATGAGGTGACTTCTGTTTGAGAACTTGCTGGGATGAGATTTTCTTTGGGGCATGAAATCCCTGTATTCTGTATCTAAGGAAGAAAATTTGATTGATGGAGCCATGATTCTACTAGAAATTTAATGTAGCTACACTTGCACAGGAGTTTTGCTGTAATGAGTCTTAATGGGATTGCTGCTCTGTAACTCACTTCATTCTCAGGTTAAGCCAGAAACTTGGTTACCAAACAAAACATTCAACAGCCAGCACATTAAAATAAGAAGAAAGAATGTGACCCTATTGAGGATGTGAAGATTCCCCTGTGTTGTTTGGATGTGTAGTTTGCCCTGTTAGAAATTAGTAGATAAAGACTATTTTAAGGTACCAGAAGAAGATGAAATAGCTCAGGCTATATGTTCAACATGGACAAGTGAGCACTGCTTCCACATCCCCAACTCCTAAACTTAGCACGAATGTCAACAGTTGTTATTAATTTTATAAATTATTTTTCTAGGAAAAATTGGAAAAGGAAACAAGATTTTGCATTAGATTTCTATTAGTTAATCTAATAAATATGTTCAGTTTCTAAAATTTTCTGGTTTGCAGAAGGAGGACTTACAATTTATTTGTGCTACTGGATCCATACTTTATATATACATTGCCTTGCTGAATCTTATGTGACTGATATAAATTTTATATTGGTCATTTTCCATCACAATTCATAAGCAGCAATTCCTTAATTAGCTAGAATTAATTATTTTGTTTCTATTTTTAACCTAACATGGCATTAATCAGCAGCAAAAATGCCATGTGTCAAATTTCATATCTTTAACTTGTGCAGTTTGTGCTGCAGTCTTGTCTTGTTTGGAATTTTGTTTTCCATGTGTAGAGCAGGTGGTATTCAGCCTCCTTGATTTATTCCCAAATTAACTTTGACTTCAGGTTGCAGGTAGATATTAGACAAATACGGTTAAAATTTCTAGTGCTTTGATAGAAGATTTACTTTTGAAAAAGAGAGTTCAAATAATTTGTAGTTGGAAGAGCTGCTATATTATAAAGCCCTGCTCTGGTAACTTGTGCTAAGCTGGTTACAAATAGGTTGGATCCCCCTTTAGCTCTAGAAATGGTATAGCACATTATCTCAGACGGAATTGGATTGAAAATCTCTACAGTATTCTCTTTGGAAGTGTATCCCTCTTAGCAGATATTGCAGTTTTCTGTTACCAGACTATTAGTATCTGTTAATATCATATTTTGCCACTGTGGAAAGCCTCAAGTGCTGCAGCTGACAACAGCAAAAAAGGACAAAGCCTGAAAATTGCTGACTGAAAGCTGATACTGCCTTGGAGCGCTGTAGCAAGGAGGCTTTTTGGCACATGCACAATTCCTGTAAGCCAAACTGTCATTATAAAATGAAGGAAAGTGCAGTGCAACAGCATAGAATCAGATCTTAAGCTTTATTCCTTTAAATGGCTTTGAAAATGAAGAATGCGTGTCCTGATTAGATGTACATGCTTTGCTTTGCCCTGTAAGCTCTCCTTGAAGTGCACTGTAGCAGCAGCGTTCCCTTGACAGTATATCACTTCTGATTTTACATCCCCTGCAGGAAAGGAGAGGAGCATAGGGATGAAGAATTTGTACTTGGGGCAAGGGAACTTCTCAGCCTTCCTGACACGCAGGAAGGAATGAGCTGCTGCTTTCACCACAAGCAGCTAAATCTGCTTCTGTCCTTACAGTTTCTCCCAGAAAGGCTTTTCCATCCCCTGCTATAGTTTGCGTAGAGGAATTTCTCTTTATGCATCCTCTGTGTAGGTTTGCCCTTACCTTTTCATCCTCCTGAATGAGAGACAGCCTAGGCAGGCAGTTTGTTCCTGCTCATCTCCTCTTTATTTATGTTCTAATCTTTTTTATGTTTTAACCTCTTTGTGGCAGAGGATGTCTGCAAACAGCAGTGCAGTATAACTCACTAACAGAACAGCCACTAACCAAATGCCTCACAAAATACTTACATGCCCAGTTTTGACAAGACACTAGACATAGACACACAGTCTCACACCTAATGAAAGGCTTTTCTAACATACGTGCCCTCAAGAGAATATGAAAGAGAAGATAAATTCAGGTCCAGAAGATGTTAAGAACTCAAAGCTAAGTTGTAAGGTGGAAGGACTAATAAAATACAAAGTTTAATTATATCCAATAACCCCTTATATTGAGGTATATCTTTAATTCACGTTAACTGGTGTAACCAAGGATTTGGTCCATGGAATTTGGTTCATCTGACATGAGTGTTTCAGAAGCCATCACAAATGATCCCAGTCTTCCTTTGTTGGGTACGTGGGCTTCTCTGATGTGGACTTCTTAGAGCAGGGCCTGCATGGCAGGCTTAGATGGCTGAGTTACCACAGTCAGAAGAGAAGGTTTTCAGTGCAAGTGAAAGGATTGGCATCTGTTTCCCTTGTTCATATTCCAGTCATTGAAACTTGAGAGAGGTAACAGATTTGAACTTTGTGAAATCATTTAATTCTCCTAGAAAGGCTTATAAATTTAAATTCTGCTCTTTTGAAACTGTTTTTGATTCTGTGAAGGGTTGTTATTAAAAATATTCCTCATGAAATGACATTTTACTTTATAATGTCATTGGTGATGGAAGTATAATTAAGGCAGCAACTATTTTTACCTCTTATTTTTGCTTTCTCAATCTCAACATTTTGATAAATGTAATGTCTCCTTCACCTTTACACAAAGTAGCAGAGAATGAGAATATTATACGAGAATATTATTGCTTTGTGATAATATTAAAGATATTTTCAAGTGATAATCTTGCAGGCTTCTTTAGAAACTAGACCAACATCTTTAAGAATTTGTAATATAATATTTAGCTTCTTCTCCCTACATGCAGCTGCCAAAGTTGTTCAAATTCTGTATTTATATATGGAATTTATATACACATCTTTATTAACAAAGACCTTATTTAAAGACTTTCTCACATGTTAGAAGCAAAAGCCAAGAGAAGCTAAGGTGCGCAAGAAATTCGATGACTTAACTCCTCAAGCACTGGGAAGTGAGGACAGCCTTGTGTCATATAGCCAAACTGCCACCAGTGACAAAAATTTCATGGGCATGTCTTTTTTGACTTAAACTTACTGTGTTTGATTTAATTCCTTTATTTTAATTCCTTTAATCATGTTTAATCAGTTTAGACCTTGAGTGGCTGTGCTGAAATGAATGGGGCTGCTGATGTAGGAAAGTGCTATTCCACTTGAGCCAAGTTGCCAGAATGCAGAATTCGCAGCCAGCTGCCTGCATGTGCTCCCAGTTGGGCAGGCTTCAGGGGTCCTGCCTTAGGTTAACATCTGTGCTTTGCTGTACTAAATCATGTGAGTAAGAAGAGGAAGATCCATGTCCAAATTTGGATTTCTTCATATTTTTAGTAATTGGGAGCAATGCATATCCCTTCTTCCCATTCTAAAATAAATACAAAGCGATGTTTCTGCTTGTAAATACAATAGGTCTCTTATAGTGCTTTGGCTGCTGGTAATATCATAAGGAGGCTTTCATTAATTCTTTGACAACACTCCAGAGGTTTGAAAAGTCTGACTCAGTTTGCTAACTAGCAGAGAATCAGACAATGGAGATCTTAGTACAGCATTTATAGTCATCTAATTAGGGAATTAAAACAATATTTATGTTTTATTCTATTTCTATACATCCTATTTTAATGTTGCTTGAATTTCTTCCTGGCAGGTGTGATTATTGTTCCAAGTGCTGGTGTTGGTATTGTCCTAGGCGGCTACATTATCAAAAAACTGAAACTTGGTGCAAGAGAGTCTGCAAAGTTGGCTATGATCTGCAGTGGTGTGTCTTTGCTGTGCTTTTCAACTCTCTTCATTGTTGGATGTGAAAGCATTAATCTAGGGGGAATAAATATACCTTATACAACTGGGTAAGTACCTTTGAATCACCAGCTTTTTCCAGTAAGCCTGGTAAAGAAATGTAAAAAATGCTGATGGCCCATGTACTGAAGAAGCCGTATGATCAAATAGGAATATGGTGAGTATTGTAGTATGAACATATGAATGTGGCCCTTCCATCTTGCATCTGTTTTGTAATGAAGTCTATGTTATAACTCACCTTTATGAGGGATGGAAAAATGCATTAGGACGGATATTATTGAATTTCACAGGAAAACAATAATAATATACTGTGTAGATTGCCAAAACTTTAGATAGTGTTTCAAAATGTTTTCTGCTCAGGAAAATTATGAAAATACTAAAGGGATTGCAAAAATTATTTCTGAATAGGTTCGTTTAATATCACCATAATAGTATCTTCTTCAGTCCAAAGTTGGGATTAATTATTTGTGCATATGCTGTTGACATTCATGGTGTGTGCTGCTTCTGAACCTTTTAACAAGTTTTATGTCCCTGGCATTGCTTGCCAGGGACACTGACCAGATTACAACCCTTAAAGAAGGCTGTCATGAACAAGAAGGCATGGATGTGGGAAAGTAATGGGAGTGAGGGATTTAGGCTGTGACATCAAGAAATGCATGATACGCTATTTTTTAAACATCAGGGATATTTGGAAGCAAGAAAGTACGGTAAAAGTTGAGAAGGTGTTTCACTGGAAGGTAGTTCCTCAGAAGCTCGATTGTGAGCTTTTATTTTCTTTCTTATAAAATGCAATAACTTTTCCCCAAAATTGCTGCCTGTAGACTAGTACAAACTTATCTGACTTTGCTTCTGCATCTGAGACAATGTCTGCCTCTTTTTTTATGGCTGGTTGCTGGGTATCAAAGACATTTGAATATTGTAGTTTTAAGGCTTAGCTTTGGACTGACATTTTGAGTTTTGGAAGAGACTGTAGAAGAAGTGTGGAGCGGGAAAAGGGGTGATCAAATAAGGAAAAAACTACACTGGGGTAGTGAGCAAGCCAAATGACAAACAAAGAGGAAGAATGGAAAACAAGGGAGGAAGAAAATAGACACTTTTCATAGAGAGTATTTTGCATTGCATGTTGCTGTGTGTTACTAAGTTGCTGTCAAACCCTAATGCAACAAAAACCAGCAACTAAAAGTCTTGAGCTGGTGGGAAGCTTCTATGATTCTTTTTGTTCTTAATACCTAGAGTTAAATCTCAGTGCCAATGGGCTAACTGTGGAGCGGAGTAGCATGGTCAATAAATCCTGATCTGAGCATAGTGGGCTGAAGAAGGAGAAAATGGGGATGGAAGATGGGTAGGACAGTTCAATTGTCCATCTTCTGGTGATGTTTGTTGAAAGACTGCAGGGGTAGATGAAGAAATGTAAATTAATTGGAAATAAAATATAAATTTCAGAAAGCAATGAACTGAATTGTGCAGTGAGTGAGAATGTCCCTGTCTGACTAATGAGAAGGTTGTAGTTCTCTGCCTATGAAAACGTGTTATGTAATTAAAATCTATTCCAAAACTGAAGTCAAGGCAAACTACTGGTATGTGAACATTCACATTAGAGGTTTAAGAGTATCTAATTCACTTTTGTGGTAAACAGTATTTGCAGTAAATGCATGAATTGAACTAGGAGTCTATCCACAGCTGTTCTGAAAGTGCAGTAGCATTAGTTCATTTACATCTTCATCTAATTCTTCTTACTTACAAGAGATGAGACATAGTAATGGCAGAATTTGGTGAAATATTGCGGTATATCAAGCCTTTGAAATCAGTATAAAAATTGGTATGCTTAGGCAGTAATGTCATCAGAAATTGAGAATAACCAGCGTGTGATAAAGCAGGGTTCAGGAGTTTGCAGCCTCAGCCCTATATGACTTTTTATTAGTGCAGTGATCAAATCAGCTGATAAAAAATAATAAAGAAGCACCACTACTCATAAATTCATCTTGAAAATATGACATGGTAAACATTCTGTTATTCCTCATGGTCAATCATTTGATAGCTTCAAATCATTTACTTGGTAAGGAGCTCTTCGCCTCAGACATCAAAGAATGTAATTGTTCGTGCAACAAAAAAGCATGCTTTCATTCCGAGGTTTAATAAAACATGTTCTTCATTCACTGCACACAGCACAGTGTACGGACATCAAAGCCAGTTCAACATACCAGATCAGATACAAGAAGCACTACAGCTGTTTGGTTCAGCATAAATTGTCTTGCACAATGCTCTACCTTAGCTTGGCAATGTCAGGTCTGTTGTCTGAGGTACTTGTGCTGGCAGCAGCCTGGAGATCTCAGCTGCACTGAGCAGTGTAGACATACTGTAGGGGAGATTCTCCTTTCTTGATTTTCTTTGGACTTGTATGTTCAGTTCTACTTTCCTTTTCTCTTACATTCAAAAAAATAGCTCTTTGCCTTTGGTGAGTTGAGATATAAGCCAGCACATAAGAGCTGGGTTTTAGTTAACAGAAATACGTGAACATCAGCACTGAGCAATGTAGTCAGTGATACATTATAATTCAGTATGGTTCATAACTCAGTATTTTTTGACTGTACCAGCTGAAGGGAAGTGGATGGGACCTGGAGGCACACAGAGATTAGAATACATTTCTACACGCAAGGATTCTCTGCTGTTTTATGTTGGGCACAAGCAGTTTTTCCGTTGTTGGTGCCTTATCAGCAGTTCTGTTATCAAGAAGGTCAAGGACACCCCTTTATTATACATCTCAGCATTTCAGAGCCTGTTTTTCAGTTCCTCAGCCTTGCCTCTAAAGGCATGTTTGATATTGAACACAGTATAGAGAGCTTAATGTCAAACTGCTGTTTGGCATTCCTTCTCTTACATCATAACTAGCACCCAGATAGGAGGCCCTGCATCAGCGAATTGTCTTCTTGCAGCTTCTTGCAGAAGAAAATTAAGATTTGTACCTTAATATAGGAGAATAAAAGTGCATTAAAGAGCAAAATTGAAGAAAAACAGCATGCAGTGCTTTCAAAAAGTTCAAGCGTCCCTCTGATGTGCAGCCACTGAGACTCTGATGAGAGCTAAATGCTCAAAAATTACCCCAATTAGCAACTTATTTATTGAAAAGTGATATCACAGTGCAATAAATAAATTTAAAATTGAACCTCAGTAGTTATAGCAGATTTCTTAATCTGCAATTGCTAAACAACATCAGTAAGTTGGTGTTTCAGGCTGGCATCCTGCAGGGTACTGAGAGTGGACGTGGAGTGGATTCTCTTCAGAAGCTCCATGTCTCTTCAGTAAGGTGGACCCCAGACCAGGACACAGCACCACAGGTGTGGTCTCACCATCGTTAAATAAAGGGGAAATAGAAGAGAATAGCTACTTTGGTGGTTTGTAGACCTGTGTTTTCTATGTTTTGTGATATCGGGTAACTAAACAGACTCCCAGGAAGCCTTACTCATAATGACAGATTCCTGGATTAGTTCACTTCCCTCTCTCATATTTCTGGCATGTGATGAATCAAAACAGGCCCTTTCTGATTGCTTTTTGTTGTTTTGGTGTAATTAAAGTTTGGTTAAAACACGTAATTGAGTTACTGAGGCACTTAACAAAAAAATCTTCCTCTTGGGCCGCCAGTATGGGTTTCTATTACCCTTGTATCTCTTTCAGTCCAATCAGATCTCATAATTTTGAAGCAGTGACTAATTGGGTCAGAACAATAACAACAAAGAAGGAATCTAGCTAGTGCAGTGAGAGGGTCCCTTGTTCGACAGCTACACAAAAGTTGCGTCATTGCTGTGATTCCAGCTGTTTGCCAACAAGGAGACTGCAGATCCAGAATGTCCTTGGTCTTAAAGGTTCAACACCAAACCAAAAATATTACCATCAAGTTAAGATAACATTTTTTATCATACAGTCCAATATTAACATTAGAGAAATTGTGTGGTGGGGTGAGGGGTTTTCTTTTCTTTGTGTTTCCTTGGTGTTCAGTAGTGTAGGTTACTACAGCAATCTAAAAAAAATATTAATAAAGCCACGTGCAAACCAATTCTTTGTTTAGATGTTACCAAAATATAGTCAGGCATTGTTTTGTTTAACCTCATCTAATTTAGATTATAGCCTCATGGAAGAGGGTCCACCTCTTTTTTAGTATCTGTGTATAGACTGCCAGCACAGTGAGGTACCAGTCCAAGCCTGGATATCTGAAATAACAGGTCACAGCTGTAAAGAAATATCTTGCCTTATACTTTCCCTTTTCTTTTTATTCCTAAACCATAAGTCTTCCACAGAACAATAGTTGGAGAGGAGAACAGAGTTTAGACAAAGTGTTAGGAACTAGAGTCCCTTTTATCATCAGTCACATCTAGGAAAGGTGTTCTCTCTGTTATCTTTACCAGCATTGTGTCATGGAGACACAGAACAGTCTCCCTGAGAAGGGAACAAATGCAATTTGCCAGCTGGGATTCTGGGTTTTGTCCCAGTATGCATGTTTAGCAAACCTGCAGTTAAAGCTTCTTAATGAAATGAGCAGAATCATTGCTTGCAATTGAAAGAATAGTTCAGGAAATGCTGTCATTTGGGGCTGGTCTCTGTTTCTGCGTGTGTGCACAGGTGCCTCACTCCATGACAGATGTCTCTGGGAGCTCATGAAGCATCACTGCAGGTTGACAGCATCCATGCCACTGAAACAAGCAGGGCAGCTGTTTCTCACATATCCTGTGTGTCTACAGCAGTAGGTGCAATGAAACTAAGCTGCTTTTCCAGCAGCCCACATCATGAGCAGGACTTAACTAGCTCCAGTGTATAAATTCTGCTTTTTCTGACTAATGCAGGTAAATCTGTGCTGTGCAGTGCAGTAATTCAGGGTTTACTGCTCTGTTTTCTTTTTGGGGAAATAGGCAGCCTTTCAGTGTTAGAAGACAGGATTACAGTTCTTCGGTTTGGCTTAGTGCTGGAAAAATATACACCTTCAAGAAAAAAATGACTTACTACTGTGAGAAGCATTCACAGAAATGTGTTATAAAATGTGCTATATATTGGCTATATA